ATATCATTGATTATTTTATTACCACCGATGCTTTTATTTGATTTTCTAAAGAGAAAATTAGTTCATCTTTTGTAATTCTGATGAAGAAATGCTTAATTAAATTTTACTTACATTTTGAATTTAGAAATATTTGACATGGATTAAAAAAAATATTTAATTCTTATATAAGACAAATAAATAATTTTTATTTTTATTTTATTTTTATTTTAATTTTTTATTTTAATTTTAATTTTAATTTTAACTTTAATTTTAATTTTAATTTTTATTTTAATTTTAATTTTATTTTAATTTCAATCCATGTTTAATACAAAACCATTTTACTGCTCAGATTTATTTAAATTAGATTTAACAAACTTAGACTCAGCCACTGAGAATTACTCAATAGAATATTACTTAATAAACTTACTAGACAATTCACAAGACTGTTACCTAGTAGAAAATAACAATTTAGTTTATGGGTACCTGATTGATAAATTGGAATGTAAACAAGATATTTTAAACACACAGTTGGCAGCTCTGTCTATCTCTCCACAGGTTGAAGGAATAAAATTGCTTCTTTTTGATGGATACTCTTCGAATAATGCTATAAATGATCAAAGTAAGTATATTGATTTGTTTGTAAGGGTTAGTAATAAAAAGGCTATTGATTTTTATGTGAGGAAAGGGTACGTTGTGCATGAATCAGTTAAGGATTATTATGCTATGCCTAAAGAAGATGCTTATGACATGAGATTATATTTAAAATAATATTATAAATTATTATTTTATTATTTTATTTTTTAGTAAAAGTAAATAAAACATTTTTAGTATTTTTAGGTAAAATAAAGACTTATAAAAATTAAGTAAGTTTTAATTTAGATTTAATTTATTTATTTTATTTCTTATACTTTAAAATGTTTGATTTATTTATTAATTTAGATAGATATCAGATTTCTATCTTACTTAATTCTAATAATGTACTTTTAATAGGACTTTTTACCGTGTAAACCGATTTAGTTAAAAGAACTTTATATTAATGTTTTTGTAGAATTTTTGGCACAGATATGCTTGAAAATTATACAAACATTAAGCCTCAATACCCTTTTATATAAGATAACAACTAAGTATGGAGAAACATATTTTACAGTATTTTTCCCTTAATTAGGTATTATATTCTTATATAGAAAGTGTAGCAATAAGATCTTTCTAAGATTTTCCATCCCTAGTCAACAAAAAAATATTGCATCTTTTTGAAATGTTATTCATAAATGTCTAAAGAACTGACTTGCAGAAAGATATTTAAAGAAAAAAGTGTTTTTAAAATTTAAATTTGTGTCTTTTTTGACAATCTTATCTTAATTTATTTTTAGAATCACAAAATAAATATAATTATTTAGTTTGTTATGATTTCTTCTTTTTAAATATTTAAAAAAAGATCTGATCATAGCAGACCATTTATTCTAAATATCAAAACTGTACTTAAAACGTCAGGAATATTAACACACACTCTCCTAGGCAATAAAAAAATTAGTAACTACCTAAAATTTACATAAAGATTTAGATTTTTACTAATAATTTTTTTCAATGTTAAGTACTTTAACCTATTCAAAATAAACATAAGTTTAACCTCAGTTTACTATATTTTATTAAAATAACTTTGTTTATAAATTTAAGAATAAAAAAATTACAAGTTGATTTGGTTGAAACATTTGGTTTTTCAGCCAATATTCATTTGAATACGTAACTAAGCATATATTTTAATATAAGGCATATTGCTATTTTTAATCATACAGTCAACACAAAAAAAATAAAAATAATATCAAATTTAAATATCAAAAAAATAAATTTTATGCCATATTTTTCTAAATTATTTTAAAGTTTAATTAAAATGGATTAAAAGATTCCTTCAATATACTTTACAGCATGTTTCTTATTGCTAGATATTTATATTTTGTATAGAAGGCATAGCAAAATACTCTAAAATGGATTTTCTAATCCCCAGCCAAGAAAAAAAAACAAAATTCAATGGCGTTTCAACAAATTAAATGTAAAAATATTTTCTTAACGAACTATGTTTTTATTAAAACATCTTATTTTATTTTAATAGTACTCTGTAACAAAACCCTTTAAAAAATATAAGTTAATAAAATGATTAACAATCTTGAAAAGGGAAATATCATTATCGTCATCATTAAAAAATCTATTATAATTTTATTATATTTTTATAAAAATTCATAATTGTATTACTGTATTTTACAAAAGGAAGAGCATAATTTTAATCCTCTTTTTCATCTAAAAATAAATAGAAATTATTATTTTTTATTTAATTTTTAAAATTCTTTTTTATAAATTTCCTCAATGTTAAAAGATTCTTAAACAACCTACAAGAATCAAATCTACCACGGAATTTATCAAAATTAATCTTATTATTATTCTTCGAACTAACATACAACCTGATAAACTATCTAAAAAGAGCCTTCTATAACCTTAAAAAATCAAAATCAAAAAAATGGCCGTTATCACTGGCGGTTCTAAGGGCATAGGCAAAGATATACTTGTAAAATTAATAAAATGAATTATGAGGTAATTTTTAATGTCTCAGTACCAACCCTCTTCTTAACTTAGATTACAAATTTTTATACTTAAATTTAGAAGATTTTCTATAAAAAAGGTAGTAAAACTAATAGGAGACAGAAAAATACATTTATTGATTAACAACGCAGGCACATTTGATTTATCAATCAAGAATGATATTTTAGAAGATAAGAATTTTATTGTGAATTATTTAGGTCATTTTTTTCTTACCACTCTTTTAAAGAATAATTTTGAGAAAGAAAGTAAAATTATTTTACGTTTCTAGTTTTTATGTTTTGTACAAAAGAACCAATTTTCAAGAAAAAAGGTTGGTTAAATTGTACTGAACAGTATTGTTCATCAAAGATGTGTTTGGTTTTTTTGTGTAGGATGATTAAAAGAGAGTATAAAATTAAGTGTGCGGTGGTACATCCAGGGATGGTAGTCACTGGGATTGTACAAAATAAATGGGTTAGAACTTTATCAGGTTGTAGGCAAATTGTTTTGGTTTTTTGTTTGATTCTTCTGATGAAAGTGCTAAGAATGTTTTACTAGCTGTTAATAGTGCTAGTTTAAGTAATAAGCCTGGTAAATCTGACTTTTTTGGAAAAGTACACCTGTCCAATTAAACTTACTTTTAATGAAGAGAGCGAAGAGAATCTTAAAAAAATTACATTAAAAATATTAAAAGAAAAAATAAATTAATGAATTTAATATTTAAATGTTTACAAAAAAAGTTTAAAGTATAAAAATTATTTAAAAAAACAATATTTTTTTGTATTTGATTTATTAAAAACAAAATGTTATAATGAAATTAAAAATATAGAAAAATAATCAATTAAAAATTATATTGAAAAAACAATTTAAATATTTTTTTAAATAAATTCAATCTTTGATTATTTTAATTATTTCTTCCCAATCTTTCTATCCTCTCAGCACAACTAGGATGAGTCAAATGCATTTTACTAAAAAATATGGTTTATAAATAGGTAATTCATTCTTAATGGTAAGCCTATAAAGTGCATCTATCAATTTACCATCAGGATGCCTCACTTGTGAATAAGTGTCTGCCTTAAATTCAAGGTAATGGTCCAATAAACTCTTAGTAATTTTATCGCAGAGCAAAAAAATATAAAAATTAAACAAAAAAATAAATCTTCTTTTTGCGGTGTTTTCTTTACCATCACAAAGAGACAATCTATAAGTTATTTCATAATAAATCAATGATATTATTGTAGTAGTAAAAACACATACCAGAACATAAAAATATTTGTCATCAACAGTCCCATGTCCTATTTCATGAAGAATGATACTTAAAAATTCTTTTTTTGAGAAGAATGACCAGTCCCATAAATATTTAATCTGTTTGTCGGAGTAATTCCAACTTCTGAAGAAATGTTTAAAAACTGAGATCTAAAATGAAAAATATTTTCTTCGCCAAAAAAATAAACAGCCTTTTCCAAAGCTTCTCCATTCAAAAATTTAGGTAATTTTTTCGAAACATTCTTAAAAATCATAAATCTTCTTATTGTCATAAAAATAAAATAATAAGATATTTGAAAAAAAAAGCTTAACACCCCAAAATAACCTCTGTGCACATAAACTGACCTTTTAGGAATAAGAAATGTTCTTAAAAAATAAAAGTAAAGTGAAAGTTAAAAAAAAAAAAAGGATTTTTAACAGAGTAAAAAGGACCAGTCTCAGAAAAAAAGTATAAATCAACGAAAAAACAGTAAGAAATCTGTACAAACCAACCTCATCATTCATACCAAACCTAACACAATTATTTATAAACCTACCTTTTTTCCAAATAAATTCTCTGCTTTTTCGATTAAAAACAAGAAAATTTACAGAAACAAAAAAAATAATCTTAAAAATTCTCTTAAAATCATAAAAATATTTAAAAAAAAAATTTTTTCCGTGTTTACAGAAACCTTTTAGGTTTCTGGCAATGTATTTGTGCATAAAGAAGTTTGAGGAAAAGGGTTTAGGTTTAAAGATATTTTTTGGTTGTATGAGATTAAATTTATAAGATCGTATACCATTAAAGAGATGTAAGTTATGAAGAGAAGGATTAGAACCGAGTATTTGTTTATCTTTGAGTTGTATTTTAACATTTGTTTGTTGATTCTGTTTTTTTAAATATTTTTTAAGGAGAACACAAAATTTTGCTTTGTTTCCTTTTTTTGATAAATGAAAATACGTACTTTAATTAAATAAAATATTAAAATTATTTTTTTATTAAAGAAAAATAATATTTTACATTTATAATTAAATTATTTTTATTTTTTTTAATTAAATAAAATAAAAAAATTTATAATTTTTTATTAAAGAAAAATAGATCAAAACTTTATTTTAATAAATATAATTTTTAAATTTTTTTAGAAAAATTAGTTCAAAGTAATATATTTTTTATAAGTAAAATATGGTTAGTTTTTAGTTATTAAGCCCCGTTAGCTCAGTCGGTAGAGCATCAGGCTTTTAACCTGAGGGCCGTGGGTTCGAAAACCCCACGGAGGTATTTTTAAAAATATTTTTTCAACTAAAAAATTTATTTTTAAACAAAATAATAAAAACCTATTTTAAAAAAATAAAAAAATAATTAAAATTTAATTTATTAGATAAAAACACTTTATAGTGCATTAAATAGGAATTAATCAGTATACCCAAAAATACCTGTCATTAAGCCCTAAACTTATAGGAGCAAGAATATTTATGTTACTTAAAAACTCTGGGTTATCATGTTTAACAACTTGGGTTTTATATAAAAGATCTTCAGGGAGACAATGTTCCTTCATTTTTTGAGGGTGAAGTATTCAATTGGGGTGTTTCTGGTGCACTTCTGTTAAACCATCTTCGCACTTTTGTAAAAGCATTTACAGAATCCTCTGTTCTGACAGGAGAAGTGTTAGTCTGGGGGGTTTCTTGTTAACTGGTGAAGGTACTGGTGCACCAACAGGATTAGCATGAGGTGGTACTAAAGGATTGTTCCCACCCAATAACAGATTGAGTGATGGCTCATTTTCACCACCAATAGCACCATTTTCAACTAATAATTGTTTAATTTCATCATTTTCTTTGTCATTCAACATTGGTGGTGTAAAAGTGTTTTCATTTTTATCATAAATAAAAAGTTTCATCTTCTAAATTTTCTCCAAGTGCTCCTAAGTTATTTTGACCTACACTGTTAAATTGGTTACTTTCGTTTGTTGTCTCTTTTTCTTTTCGTATATTTTTATAAATTTTTTCCTACTAGAAAAGAAAATACTGATACTATAATTAAAAATGAAAATGCTTTAAATAGTTTTGTTCTTTTCATGGATTAATTTTATAAATTAAATTTTTTAAATATAAATTTTTTTTATCTTTTAATTGTAGTTTATCAGAAATAAAAAAATTTTTTATGATAAAAATGGTAAATTATTTTATATCTTTAAATTATTTAATCCACCAATAAAATTGTTTTTATTTATAAATGTTATTTAATTATCAAATAAATAATATAATTTAAATCATTTAAATTTTTAAAGATAAATCCTTTAAAAAATATATATTTTTTATTTGATAATTAAATAATATTTATAAAAAAACAATTTAATAGTTATTAAATATATTTAAAAATTCTTTTTCTAAATTCTTTAGTTAAATTAAAAATAAATTTTTTTAAAGAATTTATCTTTATAAAATGTATAAAAATAATTTAAAAATTTTTTAACTGTATCACTGTAGATAATTATTTTTTTATGTCTTTTTTAGTAATCTTCCAAACCATTTAAATAATTATCTTACAAATAAAGTTGTGGTAAGAATACTTTTCTTGTGAAATACTGGTCCATCAAAAATGCAGTCCTGTCATGATTGTTAGTTTTTTCTACTTTATGCCTTAAAATTATAAAAAATTATTTAAATAAATAAAAATTATGTTTCTAATAAAAAATAGAAATTAATTGATAATTATTTTTTTCAATAATAAAATAAGTCTTATATATGTTTATAACTTATAAAAAAATATATTTATTAATTTTTAACAAAAATTAAGAAATAAATAAAATTATTAATAATTAAATAATTATTATAAATAAGTTTTTACAACCAAGAATAGAAAAATGATATCATTTAAAAATTATTTTTTTTAAAAAAATCTTTTTAACAAAGTTTCAGTTTAGTTTAGAAAGAAGTTTATAGTCTTAAAAATATTATGTCAATAAGATTTTCTAATGTAAATAAAATAAGAAATTTTATTATTTTTCATAATAAATTTAAATACAAAATAATCATTTTTAAATATTAAGGTTATTACATTATCTTTTAAAAAAATGTGTATAATTCACATAACATATTTTTTTAAAAAACACCAATATTTTTTTTAGAATTCATTTTTAAAATATTTTTAAAATTTAATTTTTTATTTTTTTAAAAATTTTTAAAAAATAACCCATGTCAACCTCAAAAGTCCTTACAGAAACATCAGTCATCCCAGCACACAAGGATGCAGTAACAGCACTAGAAGTATTCGATTACAACAACACAGAAGTACTCTGCTCATCTTCAAGAGATGGAAGAGTGTTAGCACACAATCTTAGAAATAACAATGCCATAATCAGAGAATTCTCTAAACACTCTTTCTACGTAAACTCAATGGTAATTGCTAAGAATGCAAATAGGATTATTACAGCAGAGAGTGACAAAATAGGAAGAATATTTGATTTTAATTCTCAAAAAAGTTTGGTTTTAAAGGGACATACTTCAGACGTACTTTGTTCATCAGTTAATTTTTTAGAAAATAAGATTGTCACTGGGTCTACTGACAAAAATATTTATATTTGGAATACTCAAGGTAATTTAGAAGGAGTGATACTTCATTCTGTAGAGAATGGTCATTCTGGTTGGATTACTTGCGTAGATTTTAAACCTTCTGAAGAGAATGAAATTATTACAGGAAGTTTCGATGGTACCATAAAAATATGGGACATAGAAAAGAAGAAATTGATTAACACTTTTTTGAAGGAAAATTAGTGAATGACAAGACTGTTTTAGTGAATGACGGTACTTTTGGTGTTAAAGCATTGAATATTTCAGCTGATGGTACATTTTGTGCTTACGGAGGAAATAATGGTTTAGTTTACATCATTGATCTCAATGATAATGAAATGATTGCTTCATTTGATACCAATAATACAATTACTTCCCTTGCCTTTGGTCTTACTGAGAGTATCATAGCTTGTGGTACACAAGATAAGATATTTTTATGGGATGTACCTACCAATGAATTACTTGACACTGTTGATTTATCAGTTTATGGTAAGAATTGTGAGTGTATGTCTTTAACTTGGAGTGGAAATACCCTTTTTGCAGGGCTTAAGAATGGAAAAATAGTTTCATTTGAGTTTTTTAGGAAGAAATAATTAAAAAAAGATTATTTTAAATGTTAAATGTAATATTTTATTTAATTTGTCATTTTATTTTTAAAAATATACATTAATTATTTTATAAACATATTTATTAATTTATGTATAAGTATTTATTTATTATGAATTATTTATAAAAAAATAATTTAAATTAGTATTGTAAATCAAATTCTAATTTTAAATTACATGATTTATTTATAAAATATTTATTAATTTATAAAAATATTTATTAATTTAAAATATATAATTTATTAAAAATACTTATTTAAATTATTTTTTAAATAAAATATAATTTTAGATTACATGATTTATTTATAAAATATTCATTAATTTAAAAATACTAATTTAAATTATTTTTTTAAATCATTTATTCATTCAAATCAATAACCATTTCTTCTAATATTTCTATTTCTTTGTTTAATTTGATCACTTTTGGCTCTCCTTCTCTTTTTACTAACAATCTTAGCTCCTCTTACAAATTTACTTCCTTCTTGGTTAATGATTAAATAATCAACCTGACTACCAGAATATAAATCATTCATAATACCTGCCTCAATAGCCTTAATACCCAAACTTACTGCCTCTTCTTCACTCATATTAATCTTAAAATCCTTTTCTAGCACACCCATGGCTGCCAATGACCCTGAACCTAAAGAAGTAAACAAAGCCTCAGATGAAGAACCATGTGGGTGGATGTCAAACAAATAAAAATCATTGTTATGCTTACCTCCCAAGATTAAAGCTGCTCCTATGTACCCACAATAATAAAACAAATGATTTTCTATTATTCTTTTGGCTGTAAACACACTTCCTTCCTTGTTATACTTAGCTTTAAACAAATTCAAGTATTTCTCAACCATCCTGGTGACTCTGTCTGTGTCTGCTGCCGTCCCTGCACCTGCACAGTACATTGTAGGTGATAAATAATGCAATTTTGTACATGTTTTGTTCTCAATTATGTCTCCCATGGTTGATCTTGTATCTGTGAAGAGTATTACACCATCCTTGTATTTTAAACCAACGATTGTTGTGCCTGTCTTTTTTACATTTTTGTGTTGTGTTTCTTTAAGATTCATAGTTAAGGTATCATAAAATAAATAAATTAAATTAATTATTTTATATAAAATTTTTTTTTTCGAAATTGAAAAAAATAAAATTTTTAAGAAGTTAAAAAATTTTAATTATTTTTAAAAAAAATAAATAATTAATTTTAGAAACTGAAATAAATTAAATTATTTTATTAAAGAGGTAAAAAAAATTTTATTTTATTTATTAAAAAAGCCAAATAATTTTTTAATATTTTTCAAAAAAACGTCAAATAATTGCTGTAAATTAAGTTTTAGTAAAAAAACAATACTTTTTAAAAAATAACCCAATTTAAGCAAATATAAAACATTTTTGGGGTATATTAATCAAAAAATAAAAATTATTTAAATAATAAAAAAGATCCCCCTATGAAAAAAAATACAAATAGAATCAACCAATCAGAATCAACTAAAAAAATATTAGTCATAAACTGTGGTGGTACAATCTCAATGTGTAAAGAAAACAACGTATACATTCCTAAAAAAGGAAATATTATAAAAACAATCAAAAATTATCCATCAATATTCTGTGAACTGACAGACAAAAATGAATTTTGTTTAACTGAAATTAGTATTAGTTTTAGATTGATAGAATTAGACACATTAATAGATTCTTCTAATTTATATCCTGAAGATTGGATTAAATTGGTCAGTCTTATTGAAAATTATTCATTTTATGATGGGTTTGTTATTTTACATGGTACAGATACTTTGGCTTACACTGCCGCTGCGCTGTCTTTTATGATACAAAATTTTTAATAAACCAATTATTGTGACAGGATCGCAAAAACCATTGATAGAACCAAAGAGTGATGGTCTTAATAATTTTGTTGGTGCTTTGATTATGGCTAATGACCCACAAATAAATCAAACTTGTGTATTTTTTGGTGATAAATTGTTTCTAGAAACAGAGTAAAAATTTAGCTCTGTTTCCATTAATGCCTTTATTTTCACCAAATTTTCCTGTGTTAGGAAGTATACCACTTAAAACAAACAAATTTAATAATTTAATACACAAAAATGAACTT